CTCACCACAACAGAATGGTGTGGCTGAGAGGAAGAACCGGGCTATTCTTGACATGTTTGATCAATGCTTAAGAACAAAAAGATGCCGAAGGAGTTTTGGGAAGAAGCCGTGCAGTGTGCTGTATATGTGCAAAACCGGTGTCCACATTCGAGCCTAAATGATAAAACACCACAAGAGGCATGGAGCGAACAAAAGCCAACAGTCACTCATCTCAGAGTATTTGGTAGTGTGGCTTATGCACACGTACCGGATCAGCAAAGAACCAAGCTCGGAGATAAAAGTAAGAAGTATGTTTTCATTGGGTATGATGAGAAGACAAAAGGATACAAGCTACTTGACCCCGTTAGCAAGAAGGTCATGATGAGCCGAGATGTACGAGTTAATGAAGTAGATGAATGGGATTGGAACAAATCATCTGGGGCTAATGAAGTCGGAGAATCATCAACCACTACACCAATAGCCATCCCGGCAAGTTCTGAAATTTCTGATGATGAAGATGAACCATAACAACCAAGAATGCGAAGTTTGCAAGACCTGTATGATTCGACAAGTGAGGTACACCTTGTTTTCTTTTTGGCAGATTCTGAGGACATAAGTTTTGAAGAGGCGGTGCGAGATAAGAAGTGGCAAACTGCCATGGATGAGGAGATTAAAGCAATTGACTGTAACAACACATGGGAGTTAGCAGAATTACTGAACGTAAGTCAACCCATTGGTTTGAAGTGGGTGTTCAAGAAAAAGATGAATGCTCAAGGGGAGATAGAACGGTACAAGGAGTGACTTGTTGTAAAAGGATACAAACAAAAGGCGGGAATTGACTATGATGAGGTGTTTTCTCTTGTTGCAAGAATGGAGACAATTCGATTACTTATTTCACAAGGGGCACAATTCAAATGGCTGATATTTCAAATGGATCTCAAGTCGACATTCTTGAATGGTGTGCTCGAAGAAGAAGTTTATGTCGAACAACCACCGGGGTACATGAAGGTCGGAGAAGAGAAGAAGGTGCTAAGATTGAAGAAGGCACTTTACGGGTTGAAGCAAGCACCGCGGGCATGGAATACTCGTATTGATACTTACTTTAAGGAGAACGGGTTCCAGCAATGTCCCTATGAACATGCTCTTTATGTGAAGAAGAGTGGAGCTAATATGTTATTTGTGCCTCTTTATGTCGATGACCTCATCTTTATGGGGAACAACAAATATTTGATACAAGAGTTTAAGAGCACAATGGAAAGGGAGTTCGAGATGACGGATCTCGGTTTGATGAAGTTTTTCCTTGGACTGGAGGTAAGACAAGGTGAGACGGTTATCTTTGTGTCACAAGAGGCATATGCAAAGGAGATTTTGAAGAAGTTCAAAATGGAAAGTTGCAACCCGGTTTCAACTCCGATGGAACCTGGTGCAAAACTCTCGAAGTTTGATGGAGGAGAACGAGTCAATGCAAGCAAATACTGGAGTTTGGTGGAAAGTCTTCGCTATCTCTCATGCACAAGGCCAGATCTCTTGTTAAGTGTTGGCATTGTAAGTCGGTTCATGGAGGAACTGGTCTATTCACATTAGAAGGTATTGAAGCGGATCCTAAGGTATGTTCAGGGAACGGTGTCACTCGGGTTATACTACTCGAGGTCTGATGATTATAAGTTGATTGGGTACTCTGACGGTGATTGGTGTGGAGACTTGATAAACCCCTAGTTCATCAGGTTTTTCAGCATGAATTAGTATCAATTTGTGTGATTAATTGGATGAAAAAGAGGTTAATTTCCTGGAATTCCCTCAAGTACAAGTTCTGAAAGCATTGTTGAAAAATTACACTGTCTTGTAGGGAAATAAAGCTTAAGGAGCAGCAGAAAGAAAGAACAAGATTCTGGAGAAAGGGAGAATAGGTAGTGTTGAGCGCTAAAACATTCACATAGAACGTTTTAGCGCGCTGCTGCAAACGAAGGACAAAAGTTGCTGGTGCTGAACGCTCACACAGAACGTTTCAACGCGCTGCTGCAATCTGAGGACAAAAGTTGCTGGTCTTGGGCGCTAAAACTTCCTAATCAAACGTTTTAGCGCCCTGCTGTTGGAAAAAAGACTCTGGTCTCGAACGCTAAAACGTCCAAACCAAGTGTTTTAGCGTTGGAGTCAGTTGGAAGCAGTTGAGCATTCACCAGACATGGACGCTAAAACGTTCAACAGTTCACGTTTTAGCGCCCAAGTTAGTTAAAAGCAGTTGGGCATCCGTCAAACATGGACGCTAAAACGCCTATTCATGAATGTTTTAGCGTCCATGTTAGTTTTCAGTTATAATTTGTAACACCATAAAAGGCAAGGGCCTTCACATTTGTCATAGATCTGATTCTATCTCTCTCCCCCATATCAGATCCTCTGATCTGACTTCTCTCTCTTACTTTCCAAATTCTTTAGGACTTAGTTCTTGTATTAGTTAGTTTCCTATGTAATTGCACTTGAAGATTGAAGACTTACTATTATGACAATGGAGTTTGATCTTTCTTCTTCCTTTGTTTATATTTCAATTATGTCTGAGTAGAGTTCTTTGTAGTCTGATTCAATGGAACTCAAGTTTGAATTTATGAATGGTTAATTAGATGTCTTGTTTATTTATTATGTGATTTGTATGAAGTTGTCTTGATTAATTCTTCATGTTAAATAGTAGTGTAGATTCAGATATGTTTACATTGTTTCTATATTTGTCAACTTCATCATCAGTGTTCTAGTAGTCAAGACATTGATGCTAGGATTTCTGAAGTGATCTTAAGACCTTAGTAATTAATGCATGTATTAAGAAAGGAATCACCAAGACATTAGGATTTCTAATTAATGTGTCTATCAAGGTAGTAAGACATTACATCTTGATGATAAGAAAAAGGTTGATCAACATTACATAGTAGATATTCTTCATGGAAATTGGTTCATCCATAAATTCATTCTTGAGGGAAATTGACATCTGACTACTTGTTTTAAATTATATTCACACTTTATTTGTTTATCAATTCTTTAATTTTATTCAAATTTAATTTCTGGTGACAAGAAATAAATGCAATTCATAATCTTTTGGTTGATTCAACTTAACAATATTTGGTTAGTCAGTGCTTGACACAATTTCTCGTGGGAACGATCTTTACTCATCATTTTATTACTTGTTTGACTAGTACATTTGCTAATCTGACAACAAGTTTTTGGCGCCGTTGCCGGGGAATTTGTTTTTTAACATTGACAAACACCATTAGTTGTTAAGATTGAATCTTTTATTTTCAGTATTTTATATTTTTGTTGTATGAATTTTTGTTCCATTTTAATTCTGGTGTATGCAAGGTACTTTTGATTCAACTTCTTTGTTGTTTGACCCAGAGTTAGAAAGGACAATTAGAAGGAACAGGAGGGCAGCCAGAAGAAGGCAATTACTGGAAAGGGAGGAACCAAGTGGTGAACCAAGTACTACAGTACAGGAGGAGAATATGGCAGAAAACCATGTGCAACCACCACAGTGGACACTGAGAGATTACATGACTCCTGATGTCATTCCACCAATTGGAAGTGTGGTTCGACCTACAATAGAGTCCAATAATTTCGAATTAAATCCTGCACTGGTACATTTGGTGCAGAAAGAATAGTTTGCTGGAACAAGTGCAGAGGATCCATACCTGCACATTGAAAATTTCTTGCTGTTAAGTGACACTGTGAAGATTAATGGAGTGTCCAGAGATGCCATTCTTTTGAGGCTTTTTACTCATTCACTGAAGGATGATGCCAAGATATGGCTACAGTCACTACCACAAGGAAGTATTACAACTTGGGATGACCTGCAGACCAAGTTTTTGGCCAGATTCTTTTCAGCATCCAAGAGGGCAAAGTTGAAGGATGAGATTACAGGATTCAAGAAGAAAGAATTAGAGTATATCTATGATGCCTGGGAGAGGTTCAAGACACTCTTGAGGAAATGCCCACAACACGGGATATAAGTGTGGAATCAAGCAGCAATCTTCCTCCAGGGGTTGACAACCACTACTAGGACATTGGTGAATGCCACAGCTGGTGGTTCATTGACAACCAAGACTCCTCAGGAAGCCCTGGACATCTTTGAGTCCTTAGCATCTCAGGAGTTTGACAATGCTCCAGTGAATGACACAAGAATGGGAATTATTAAATTGGATGGCTATGATGCTTTATTAGCCAAGAATGACCAGATACAGCAAGTACAGAAACAACAACAACAACAAATTGATTCTCTCACTAAGCAGCTTTCTTCTCAGAAGGTTGCTTCTATGGACACTAATTCTGTGTGTGCCAGTTATGAGAAAAGCCATGTTACAGATGATTGTGATTGTGGGAGACCTGCTGAACAAGCAGAAGTTAATGGAGTGTGGTATGACCATAACAACCAGAGGAATTACAACAACTAGGGGCGAAATGTGTATGTGCCACCATGGAAGAACAAGAATCAACACCCAGGGTTCAGTTATAGTTCCAACCATCAGTTGAATCCTCCACTACATCCTCCTCCAACACACTCATCACAGCCAAGTGATACTACTGCATGGGAGAAAGCTTTTGCCCAGTTATCAAAGACTACTCAAGATTACATCAAGGGGTCAAATTCTTTCAGGGAAGAGACTTCTGCTTTCATACAGGAGACTAAGGCAGCATTCAGAAACCAAGAAGCATCCATCCGGAATTTGGAGACACAGATTGGTCAGTTGTCTAGGTAGATAGCTGAGAGGCCACAGGGAAAGTTCCCTAGTGATACTATGGTGAATCCAAATGAGCACTGCAAGTCCATCTTTACAAGAAGTGGGCTTGTGCTCCAACCGGTGAACAAGAAAGTGGATGAGAATAAAGTGGGAGAAAAGAAAAGTGAGGGGGAAGTTGTTGTTGAAGATGTTGTAGTTGAAAATGATAAAGAATAAGAAGTTGAGGAAAAGAAGAAGGAAGAAGAGGTTGTGGTTGAAAAGAGTTCTTCACCCAAGAAGTTGATGAAGTGGGAGAAGAAGAAGATGGCTGACAACCAGGACCAGCCAATTAACCTATCTCCTTATGCTAAAGTGTCTTATCCTCAACGGTTGAAGCATGAAATCCAGAAGCAGCACTATGTAAGGTTTCTGGATATTTTTAAGAAGTTGTCGATTAACATTCCATTTGCTAAGGCCCTGGAGAACATGCCACACTATGCCAAATTTATGAAGGATCTTCTATCTAAGAAGAGGAGATTGAAGGATGGTGAGACAGTGGCTTTGACAGAAGAGTGTAGTGCCCTGATCCAAAAGAAGCTTCCACCAAAATTGAAAGATCCTGGAAGTTTCAGCATCCCTATTGCCATTGGAGATGTGGAAGTAGGGAAGGCACTTTGTGATTTGGGGGCTAGCATAAATCTGATGCCTTTGACTGTATGTAGAGCCTTGGGAATCAACACCCTGAAGGATACTAATCTTATATTGCACCTTGCTGATAGATCCATCAAAAGACCAGAAGGTGTGGTTGAAGATGTTCTGGTCAAGGTGGACAAGCTTATTTTTCCAGTGGATTTTTTTATTCTAGATATGGAAGAAGAAGATACTGAAAGCCCTCTACAGCTAGGGAGGCCAGTTTTAGCAACTGCTAGATCCCTGATTGATGTTGAACAGGGGAAGCTGATGCTAAGAGTGAATGAAGAGACAGTTACAATTGATGTATTTGAAGCCATTAAACATCCTGTTGATGTGGAGCATTGTTTCAGGATTGACATTATACAGGAGGTTGTGAAAGAAGTGACGGGAGAAGAGAACCTGTTATTGGAGGAAGACAAAAGTAAGGAAGAAATGAGTGGGGAATTTTATCAGGAGGAACTAGTAGTTGAAGAGCTTGAAAAGAAGGTGGATGACATTCCTAAGGGAGCACCTAAGGTGGAACTGAAAGAACTATCTTCAAATTTGAAGTATGTGTTCCTTGGGGATGATGAAACCTACCTAGCCATTATCAATGCATTTTTGTCTGAAGGGGAGGAAGTGAAGTTGGTTGAGGTACTCAAGAAGAACAAGACAGTCATGGGCTAGTCATTTTCAGATCTTAAGGGTATCAACCCTTCCTTCTGCACTCACAAGATCTTAATGGAGGAAGAAGTCAAACCAGTGAGGCAACCACAGAGAAGACTCAATCCCACTATGAAGGAGGTAGTGAGGAAGGAGGTGGTGAAGTTGCTTGATGCTGGGATGATTTACCCTATTTCAGACAGTGCTTGGGTGAGTCCAGTTCAAACAGTACCCAAGAAAGGAGGGATGATTGTTGTAAAAAATGAGAACAATGAACTGATCCCTACAAGAACAGTGACTGGCTGGAGGATGTGTATTGACTACCGGAGACTCAACAAAGCAACCACGAAGGATCATTTCCCTATTCCATTTTTGGACCAGATGCTAGAGAGATTGGCAGGACATTCTTTCTACTGCTTCTTGGATGGATACTCTAGCTATAACCAGATAGTTGTGGCTCCAGAAGATCAGGAAAAGACCGCATTCACTTGCCCCTATGGAATCTTTGCATACCGGAGGATGCCTTTTGGGCTATGCAATGCACCAGAAACTTTCAAAGGTGCATGCTTTCCATATTCTCTGACATGGTAGAAAGATGCATTTAGATTTTCATGGATGATTTTTCTGTGTTTGGTCCTACTTTTGATGCATGTTTAGAAAACTTGGATTGTGTTTTGAAAAGATGCCAAGATTGCAATCTTGTGCTAAATTGGGAGAAATGTCACTTCATGGTGACAGAGGGGATTGTTCTGGGACACAAAGTATCCAACAGAGGGATTGAAGTAGATAAGGACAAGATCTCTGTTATTGAGAAATTACCCCCTCCCATAAATGTTAAAGGTGTGAGGAGTTTTCTAGGACATGCTGGATTTTACCGTCATTTTATTAAAGACTTTTCAAAATTGCAAAACCATTGTGCAAGCTGTTAGGGAAAGATTAAGAATTTTTGTTTACTGATGACTGCTTGCATGCATTCAGTGTGTTAAAAGACAAGTTGATCACTGCACCTATAATCATGGCACCTAATTTTTCATTACCTTTTGAGCTTATATGTGATGCCAGTGATTTTGTTGTGGGGGTAGTGTTAGGTCAAAGGAAGGATAAACTATTGCATGTCATTTACTATGCCAGTAAAATTCTTAATGAGGCACAAAAGAAATTATGCTACTACAGAGAAAGAGTTATTGGCAATAGTGTATGCATTTGACAAATTTAGGTCATATATGCTAGGGTCCAAAGTTATTGTTTACACTGACCATGCAGCTTTGAAATATTTGTTAACAAAGAAGGATGCTAAGCCCAGGTTACTCCGATGGATGCTACTTCTACAAGAATTTTAAGTAGAAATCAAAGACAAAAAGGGAGTGGAGAACTTGGTGGCTGATCATTTATCCAGGATCACAGAGACACATCTACAAGAGGGACCAGAAGTGGTGATCAAGGAAGAGTTTCCTTATGAACAAATACTGGCCATAAGCACTATTTCCCAGTTGGTGCATGATCAAGTCTTGTCTGTTAACACACTACCATGGTTTGCTGATTTTGCTAAATACAGAGCTGCTGGAGCCATGCCTAAGGATTTCACTTACCAGCAGAGGAAGAAATTTCTGCATGATGTGAGGAGATACATCTGGGATGAACCATACCTCTTCTATAGATGTTCAGATGGAGTAATCCGAAGATGCATTCCAGAAGAGGAGCAAAAGAGTGTCTTATGGCACTGTCATGGTTCAGCCTATGGTGGTCATTTTGCAGGTGAGAGAACAGTAGCCAAGGTTTTGATGAGTGGCTTTTACTGGCCCACATTGTACAAGGATGCCAGGAAATATGTGGAAGCATGTGACAACTGCCAAAGGACTGGAAACATCTCCAGGAGACATGAAATGCCTTTGAATAATATTCTGGAGGTGGAGATCTTTGATGTCTGGGGTATAGATTTCATGAGACCTTTTCCCTCTTCCTACTCTAACAAGTATATCCTGGTGGCAGTTGATTATGTGTCGAAGTGGGTTAAAGCCATAGCCACACAGACCAATGATGCTAGAGTTGTGATAGCATTCCTGAAGAAAAACATATTTGTGAGATTTGGAGTTCCAAGAGCCATAATAAGTGATGGAGGAACCTATTTTGATAACAGGTTTGTTGAAGCTGTTCTTGCAAAGTATGGAGTAAGGCACAAAATAAGTACTCCATACCACCCACAGAATTATGGTCAGGTTGAGATTTCCAACAGGGAACTTAAAAGAATTCTGGATAAGACTGTTGGAAGTGCTAGGACTTAATGGTCCAAGAAACTTGATGACACTTTGTGGGCATATAGGACAGCATTCACGACTCCTATTGGAATGTCTCCATTTCAGTTGTTGTTTGGGAAAGCATGTCATTTGCCTGTGGAGTTGGAGCATAGAGCGTT